AAGTCTTAGAAAAGGTCTGATAAAAGTTGACATTTGTACCCTATAAAAGTAAAAAAAAAATACAGTTTTAGAGAAATAAGATTTTCTTGAATCCAGCCTTAGATACCAATGATTATTAGCATGATATGAAATAAGAAGTGATTTGTGGTGTTTACATAACTTTGTGGATTCAGAGATAACTTTATGAGTATTTTTGATTACGTAACTGCTAATTTTATAAACCTGAGGATCGGACTACCTTAAATAATTTTCATCTGTTCTTTTGTTTAAAGTTGGTGACGAAGTGACGAAAACATATTTACTTGGTGATAATAGACATAAATTTCTTTTCGTTTGTAAAAAGTGGAAAAAATACGTGTGCCTCAGTGGATTTGAACCGGGGTCCTTTGATTTTGAAAGCTTTCACTTAATCCACTGAACCAGCAAGGCTTGAACGAAGTGGGTATTTAAATGAATTTTGATGTTGGCAATTTAAATGGCACTATTTTGTTTATCGTAGTAAGTTTCCATCATTCGGTTTAGGGTATTTAAACTTTGGAATTGGCTATTGTAATCACTCGACAAAAGTTAGCCAACGACTTACAAGTTTTTTGAAAATATATTTTCAACGATTCATTTAGATGTATTTTCAGATATTGGAAATAGCTTTGTTGAACATTGGCAGGAAGCCTTTCTCAATTACATGTAGGATGTTACTGGTTTCACCTTTCAGCTGCAGATTTGAATAGCTCTCCATTAAGAATCCCTTCAATAATGCCGCATATGTTTTAATGTATGTTTAGAGATATTTCTAATATATACTAGTCAAAATTTCTAAGTCCCCAGGCAAGTTTTTGCTTTACCATGCTCTTATATTGAACTATTTTAACAGTATAATTTAATAAGTATACAGGATAATAAAGTTGCAAAAACACTTTCTCTCAATCAAATTATTTTATTGAAGCGCATTAACACAATAGGCAGAAATGTTAAGGCACCCTAGAATTAAAAATTCACAACGTTAAATACTGCATTATACGCCATTCAAACGAATTCACAGCAAGAGAACTGTTCCTCAAAGAGTTCACACTATTTAAGAAAAATTCTTTTAATGAATTTATTTCCATGTGGAGGCTAGATCGTCCTCTAGTTCCACTAGATTCTGCTGCTGGAAAAGCTGTCTCACACTCCGGTCTATCTTCTTCCATACATGCTAATTATGGTTGAGATGAGGATGACAAGGGGGCTTTTCGAAATTGTCTGTGCCTTGTCAACAATAGTTACATAACGTCTTCTTACATGTATTCCCCACTTCTCCAGTTTGACATTGAGGGGAGGGCACTTCCGGTTCCGGTTCCATTGATTTTTCCGGATAAACTCTAGGATGATTTTGTGGTGTTTGTTGAAAATCTAGCGATTTCTAACGATTAAAAGGAATTCAGTTATGCTTTGTAGGTTTTTCGGGCGATAATTATAAAGGTTTTATTAAAATAAAGTCATACAGTGAAAGAAAAAATAACTTTTGTTAACTACGACCAGCTTGGGCCATTTTAACATCACTTGCACATTGTTATGTGGACATACACCGCATTTTATTCAAGCTTTTTTCTGTTTTTCGTTATCAATTAAAGATGGAGAACACATGGAAGTAAAAATATGAAGAATACACCCGAAAAAAATATGTAACTCGAACTTCATGCTTTTTAACAAAAACGGTCACGGTCGAGTAAATACACATTCGATTACAATTTTTTTTGGCTTTGACAGGTAAGTATTAGAAATTACAGGTAAATTTGTAAGGAACTAGTAAATTGAAGTTAAGGTATTTTTGAAAAAATATAAGTGGGGACTTAGAAATTTTGACAAGTATATATGTATTTTGCACAGCTCTACTTAAACTAGTCAATTTATTGTACATTATAATTAATGACACTTTTGCGTTAAGTTTGTGAGAATGAGTCCGCCATTCAACTCGTTTACCTCGCAATTGCTGCGGACTTACAGGTTTCCATAGTTTTTTTCAACATAAATGTTGTTTTTAATCTATGGTTTTTCCTGGGCGGCGAGGGAAGCATAATTATGTTCAGGCGTGTTTCATATAACTTTCCTTTAAGGAGTCCAAACCATTAAGCTCTGGTATTGCCTCGTTTAAATCTTAAATAAATTTTCAGTGAAGTGGGGACTTTAAATATCGTGTTCAAATATCTCTTGTTCTGTGATATTTGATTAATTATTTCTTTGATACATTGTAGAAGGAAGGTAAAGATTTGGTACCATTGAAGACTTGTGTTTATAAATGTATACGTCTAATAAATGCAGCAAGCAAGCGCCTCTTTGTGGGATGTACCTCAGGACGAGTTTATATTTCTACAAATAGTTTTATTTATTAATCTGCCCAACATTGTCGCCCACTCCTTCATAATGGATGCCGATCTGCCCTCCTACGGACGCGATGATCTTTGTACAATTTGACTTTAATAAATGGCTAACTATGTCTTATCCTATATTCTGTGTTTTGTTTTATTTTATTTTTATATTAGAACAGGAAATAATTTATGTTCGGATGAGCGAAGCGAAGGAGAACATAAGGATTCATTCTTCGTTATACACCTACAAAAGACACCACAGAGTCTGTCACATCTGTTGTATAGTTAGATGTTTTACTGACTGGCCAAGTAACAACTGAAATGTATGAGAGACTATAGATAACCAGCATTGCCATACAAATGATGATGTCTCAATGTAAGTGAAAAATCCTCAAAGGAACTAGTGCTAATTGTAACGGGGACCGTTACAGATGTTCCCCAAACGCTCCCCAACTCCCTTTTGGTGCCATATTCCCTGTAAGCTTCATTAAATAAGACGAACTCGATGCATTTAAGACTTTAATAACGTTTACACAGAAGTGTACAAAGTTCATTCAAATTTTGCGTGCGCATGTGAATGCATGTGCGTAATGACCATATCATCTTGTCTACACAATCTATATATTTTTAAATACTAAATATTAAAGCATTTAATCCAAAAGTATTAAAAACATACGCTCGTTCAAGTGTTCATTTCACGTGCACGCACGTGCATACATGAGCATGGTGACCATATCTTCTTGTAGATGTCCATTACATCTATCTATGTTCTAAATCCCACCCCGTTTGGTTGAAAACCAAGGGAGTTATAGCTGTTTAAAGTTTCAGCCAATCAGATTGCAGCGCACGTACATGCACGTGTATGCATGTGCATGGTGACCATATTTTCTTGTAGTAGTCCAGTATATCTATCTATGTTCCAAATTCCATCCTGTTTGGTTGAAAATCAAGGGAGTTATAGCTATTTAAAGTTTAAGCCAATCAGATTGCAGCGCACGTGCATGCACGTGTTGCATGATAATTGTTATATATCTTTTTGTAGGATACCCTTATGCATGGCCATTTTCAAAATTTCAAAGGATTTCGTCAAAAAATAAGAAAGATATTGAGACTTTAGTTTCAGCCAATCAGAGCAAAGCGCACGTGCATGCGCGTGAGATCTTGCTATTTTGACTATGTCATATTGTCTATGCTTCTAATATATCCTTATATTATAAGTTTCAAAGCATTTCATCAAAAATTTAAAAAGTTACGCCTATATCAATGAAATCGGTCATTTCACATGTTGCACGTGCACGCTCTTGCAAGCACGTGCGCGCAAAATGACCTTCGTTCCGCAAATCTACATAACATGTCTACTGACCCTAAAAACATTTCACCTTAGTCAGATGTATAGTTTACGAGATCATTCCCGGACAAAAAAGTACCCAGGAAGAAGAAGAAGAAGAAGAAAAATAATAATAATAATAAGAAACAGAGTAAAAACAATATGTTCCCCAACTTCGTTTGGGGAACATAATTACGTAAAACAACAAGCAACAAGGGATTTCAACAATTCCCTTTTGCAGTAGTTTATTTAGAAAATTCGATGGTCATTATAATGAAGTTTAACAAATTATAACCTATAATTGGGGTTGTATTTTGGCTGATGTGTGCCATACCAATTGTTCGGCCTTTTCTTAACTTATTTTACTGAGGTAGTACCGTCCACTTGATTAATACATAATATGGTGGGTGAGACCAGATAATATGTAATATTTACAATTACCCCCGATCCCATCTCTAGAATTTCTGAGGTCTGTGTTTTATTCCCTTTTCATCCTTTTTTTTTTTCAAGAAAAAAAATGCTGTATTTAATTTTAAGATTTTTTCAGTTCGATCATTGTATATTACCATCATTTTTTCCTATATACAATCAAAACATTTATATTAATTGTCACAGAAATGATTTTTTAAAAGGTTATAATGACAAGTGAATAAAAAATAAAAGAAATATTTTTGTCCTGGTGTTATTCCTTTAATTTTTTCTCCCCATTGAAGTGAAAATTTTCAACATGATAGTTTTAATTTCTTTCAAACTTTGGGTAATTCATCAAAATTGAGGTCAATGAGTGGAGAGTCCAACCACTCAATCGTTTGATTTGTTACCACACATTACATCATAGACCTTCCTATGCCTTATGCCTTTCTCGTAAGCATCAACACGAACGATTATCTATATAAATATAAATGACAAAATATTTATTGGAAGAAATGAAGTCTTTTTATTACTCATCAACACTGGCAATTAATTTCTCCTACATGTTTGTTATTTATTTACGAATTAATTGATATATATTTTCATAAAAGCCTGACTTGAGTATTACATATATTTTAAAGATGTAATTTTTTCACAATATTTTCACGATATTTCTTCTTTGACGTACTTTACACATTTCACCTCCTTCTCGAGGAAACGTCTTTGACAGATGGACGCATGTAAAACACGACCCACAACAAACCAAGTGTGTCATGTTTTGTTTACGTAATGAGGAACGCTTCACTGATTTTCCAAATAAAACGTAAGGAATGCCATTCAGACGGCATTACTAGAAAAGACATAACCCCATCAACGATTGTCAAAATTTACTACTACTTTCACAGCTATTAGGAAAGATAACTCATTCTTTTTCGTCCATAATCAGGAAAACCAATGCTCTTATTAACGTCGTTGTTGTGTATCAGTATTGCAAATGGTATGTATGATACATTGTAGAAATGTTAAAATAATTTTGAAACTCAATGATAAATTTCTGTCTTTTATTACCTCAATGATTTGTTTTTTATTTTTTTCCAAAAGAAGCATTAAGAAAATGTCTTCAAATGCATGATTTGAATTAAATGTTAAAATATAGATTTATCTCACTGAATTAGAACAAACAGAGAAATTATCAAGAGAATATAATAAGTACTTTACCTAGATTCCATGTATGTTAGTTCCTTTTCATTGATTGTATTAACTTACTTTTTATGAAGAGGGTTCTGTGTCATTACAGGAGTACTCAGTCAAACTTGTGACATTACCTCAGCTAACAAATGCTGGTCTCCTCTTACTGCCACCATGGGGGATTTAGTTCCAAGCTCGACTCCCAAGCATATTTCACCATCTTTTAAAGTCAACAACGTGTGCAGGTAAGCAAAACATATCTAAAAAGCGCTCTCACATGTAAATTTTACAATAATATAATGTTATTTCTCTCGAACTTTTGCAATCACATCTATTACCAAGAGTTTACTGAACAACGATCACAATATTGTTTGACGTTTTAAGAGCATTTACATGTATAAGCATGGATGTATATGATAAATAGACTGTTTTTAAAAATACAAAATTTTGTCCATACCTTTGCTTATATATGGAATATATTTGATTTCAGTGGACTTCATAAAGTATTCAGTTGTTCTGAAAGTAAAATGTCGGCATGCAATCCAGGAGACCGTCTTCTTTATGATACTGCAAAATCCTCCAGCACCTTTCTTTGTACCAAGGGGAAACAAGGTTCGTTTTTCTAGCGATAAATCTAGTAACTGATTTGCTTGACTTTTCATCCATTTTTCAGCTGATCAACCTTTATGTGTAAATGACGTTTCTTGCATTGACATACTTCTATAAAAGTAATCAACATAGCTGTCAAAAAATAACTTTTATACATGCCATAGAGTACATGTATGATAATAAATGTTTGTGCTTCAGCATGCTGGAAACCATTTTCAATGTTAACTTTATATCTTGAATGAGAACATCATTATTATGAAGAGGACAAACATCAACATTTAATTTATCATTTTACGATTTTTTTTATTTTACTCTTGTCTAGGATATATTGAGCATGCTCAATGCCTCTTTAGTGAAGCTTCACATAGAAGTATGAAGAAATGTACAACTGAGGCAGTGACGTTGATTCAAAACTTCATTTTACCAATGTCTGATCTCTCGGAATTAAAAGGAATATCAAAAGAATTATGTGGGTAAGCATGTTATATATTTTTGTAATAATAAGACATAATTTGAAAAGTAATCTTTTTATTTTTTCAAAATATTTATACAGCTCTTGAAGAAATATTTCAATTTTTTTCCCATATTTATGAAACATTTTAAGATTATCATTTTAATTTGATTATCATTGAGGCCATGTATCAAATAATCTCTCATTTAAATTTTAGGTTTGCCTCCGCAGTTCGCTCATGTCTTGTTTTAACAGCAAACGAAAATTGTGGGCAGCCTGCCGCTTTCTATCTACAGCAATACGTAGATGCCACAGTTAAACCAATGTCTGATTTTCTGTCATGCTCATCGCCAAAGTCAGAATTAGGTAAGAAAAAAAAAATTAGAAAATAATAGAGAAAACTAGGACATATTTATAAAAGACTCATGGTAAATCGTATTGAATTTATGACAATAAATACCAAATAATACAAAATAAAAAGAATTAAACAATTATGATCATGATCATCAGGCTTTTGACTTTACTTTTATTTGTACAGAAGTGACATATTTTCCCTCCTCTGGTAATTTAGAAGACAAAACTGAGACCCAAACAACAATGAATCCAACCCCTCAAAGCAAGCAAAACATTCCAAGTTCCTTTATGGACATAAATGGACCAAATACAGACATTCTAAACACCATACAACCTGAAGAAAATGTGAAAAGTACTAAAACAAGCGTCCCAAAGTGTGACCGGTATTGCTTTGTTTTTACTCACGACTTATCACCGTCCCTAAAACAGGGATATGATGACTGGTGTGAAATTAATTGTCGCCAGGGATTCTGCCCACAGCGGACGTGTACATGTAATTGTAATCCCGTGCGGAGGAAGATTGTGTGTGAAGCGGTCGACCTGAGATTTAAGTTGCAGTCACGTGGTTCGGAGTGGTGTAATGCAGTTTGTAAGCAAGGATTTTGTCCCAGGAATTACTGTAAATGTAGAGTAGAACTGGAATCGCAACATGTTCCTTCGCCATTGTGATGGTTCTAAACTGTTTCAGATTAAAATAGATTCTACCTCAGTATTTTGAAAACAAAAAATACTTGAAACTATTATATACTATGAAATCCAATACAATGTATATAGTTATTTTTTTATCTTATATTTTGTAAAATTTACATGTTTGTATGATGAAAAACAATACTAGTTTGCAAAAAGTATTTAAAAAAAAGTATTGAAGAAGAAAATTTGTTTTAAATCCACCTCAATAAGTTAACTATTCTTTTTTTTTACTTTCCTTATTTAACAGCGATTCCAAAATCTAATTGTCTCTCAAACTTTAAAAAACATATAATTTTTTTGTCACACCGGTCGCTTGCACTTTCATGGAAATAACTAATTTTCCTGATGCAATAAATATATAGAAAGTTTTGATTTATAAATACATAGGTAAGAAATGTAAAATGTAATCTGCATTATCATAATGCAGTCCTTTTGATAGCTGTTAATGCTTACCTTCTTGGTGATCTTAAGCAACAATTTTGCTTTCCATACTTTGCAAAATACCCTCCAAAGCGAGAAAAATGTAACCCCATAAAATACGCCTGTAGCGTAAAAAAGGTGCAAATATTTTATTAAATAATCGTATTTTCTTGAAAATGTGTGACCCTTTTTCAAGTTTTCATGTAGATGTATACTTACAATTTGTTTATATATTTGTTTCTTATTTTTGAATGTCTCATAAATAATAATAAAAAGGTATATACTTTTTTCCAATCTTGCTATTTTTGCTTTTCAATGACTTAACATATAAGATCTAAAGACATCTGAATCAGAATGCAAGGCTTCTAACCATCACAGCATTTTGTTCATATGTAATGGTATTTATCGTAGTAAATTTAAATCAGTTGCAAGGACGATGAGAGATAATGATTCAATATTCAACGATGGTTTGATACTTTAGTGGCATAACTTAATAGGGATACTTGAATGGTTTTCAAACGACCGTATGTTGAGTTGCATCATTGATATTCTGGTATTATCATCGTTGTACAATGAATAAAGACAGGTGTATTTCTCTACATTTACTTTAAAAACTTTCAACTAAACTACTTGCAGGATTTTTTGTGTGCTTTTTTCATTCCAGAGGTTTTTTTGTTTTAGTTCTGTTTGGACATGAGATTAACGTACAATTTTTTATAATTGATTGTCATAAATTATGCAATGAAGATTTTGGAGTATCGTTTCAGTGATACTTTTGTCAATGCTATTGAAATAAAAGATGTCACTAAAAATAGCTTGGAGATATTTTACATAGTACAGAAAGTGCAGCTGTGTAAGATGAAGGTCACAATTTTTAAATTTTACATCAAACTAAAGTCATATCCTTTTTATAAATATATTTTAATCAAAAACATTTCCTAGTTTATTGATACCTCTGGAACATAAATGCTAGTACAGTAATTATTTGCCAGGAGAGAGAAAGTGATTGAGTTCGGTGTTTTGCAATAAAAAGTATATAGATAATGAAAAGTGATCGATCAAAAAATACTAGTATATATATATAAACAATACAAAACTGTAAAGAGGGCATGAATATAAACCCCTTTAAAAACCATAGGTTTGATAACATGACAAGGAGGAGTAAGCATTCACTGTTGACCAGTCACACCCGCCAGGGACCTTATTCACAAAGCCTCCGTAATTTCCGCAGTCGCGGAGCGTTTACGGAGGGATTGCGGAAAGTTTACGGAAATATTGCGGATGGTTTACGGCGTATTCACGAAGCTTCCGTAAACTTTGCGAAATTTACGGAAAGTTTCCGCAAGTGAAACACGCTGAACGAGCACTTGCATTGAAGAAAAAGAGTTACGAACATATTAAAACTTGAATGTTTTGAGCGTGTTTTGTTAATTTTTTTAATCAAATGTGTTGCATTCTCGAAATTAAAAAAATGAAATGAGAACAGGATAGAATCAAAACTTAAATGAGTAATAACTTTATAAGAAAAAAAAAAAGAATAAGACAGTATTTTATCACGTGTATATATTTTTATAGTGAACAAATATAAAGTTTTTTAAAGGTTATTTATTACAATTAAAATCAAGATACTATTCATATTTTTGTGATCATTAGTTAGTGAATGGGTAAATGGGTAGTCGAGTGGGGGGGTTATTTTTTAAATATACACGATTGAAACTGGTAATCATATATGTAATAAATGAATAAACAACATTTTACAAATAATGAATAAATAATAAACGTTTTCGGCGTAACATATAATTTGTACATAGTTTTAGATAGATTCTCTTTATACTTCTTTTGTCCCGTGAACCTATTGTGACGTCATGACTAAGAAAATGACATCATTGAAATTCTGACAAATTAACGCTGAAATTATGGAAGATAGAAAAAAGAAACCGCGCTTTAGTGAAAAAGAACTTGAAATATTAGTTCAAGGAGTTAAAGAACGCTCAGATGTTATCAACTCAAAATTCAGTGACATGATCAACAATGCAAAGAAAAAGCAAGCGTGGGTGGAAATTTTGGAATCTGTAAATGCTGTCTCATTCTCAAAAAGAACTGTCGAAGAAATTAAAAAGAAGTGGGATGATGTGAAGAGGGGCACAAAGAAGAGAGCTTCTGCTGTCCAGAAAGAACGGTGTAAGACGGGGAGTGGAAAATTGGAGATTATACCATTAAGCCCAATGGAAGAAGATATTGTGTCTGTAATGGGAGAGGAGAGAATTTTTGGATTCAGCTCGTATGTAGACACCATGATTCCACCTGTAAGTGAGCCTAATTTCATCCGTCATTTATTTGCTTTAATTTTCAACAATATGTTTCAAGACTTTCAACAATTTTATTAACATGTATATAGCCTTAAATGTTATCGATATTCTCAAAAAATTCATTTGAGGCCATCCTTAAAAAATTGTTTGTTTTGGAATTGCCGCCTGAAGGGTTTAAGACACAGGAGGGAGGGAGGAAAATTTTTTTTTTTTTTAATTGAAGATAAATTTTAAATTTTTGATAAAAATCTCAGTAAACAGTAAATACATTTTCTGACTTTTAAAATAAGTAACTACCATCAACAAAAAACCCTAATTTTACATAGATCTGACACTATATTTCTGTGTTTTGTATGGTGCATGTGATACATGTAATGGGCAAAAAAATTGATTCAATAAAAAAAAAATCTTCCTACTTTTGGTCAATAACATTTTTTCAGGAGGGGGCATTTCAATGAGGCGGGAGGCAATTCCAAACAAACTATAATTTTATTTTGGCCTGAGGCAAGATATACATGTACATGTAAGGTGTGTGTGTGTATGTGTGTGTGTGGGGGTGGGGGGGGGGTTGTACCTGTCAAAAAAGGAAACTATATAATACTGGGGAAGGTTACACAACCTATAGGTTACATAAATCATTATAATAGCCTAATCTCTTTATTACAAATAATTATAATAATTCAGAATTTGAGTGTTACATATCGGTGTTTTAATTTTTTTTTCTCCGCGTTTCCGAATGTACAATTCTAGTTACTTCCCCCGTCTTAGAGAGGGTGTGAAAAAATATGTATCAACTGACGGTTAATTTGTGTTACTTATTCTGAGATGATACTGTAATTACAATTATAGGGATAGTATGCCCTTAAAACTACTGTAGTCTAAACACGTTAGAAGTCTTCATTGAAAAAAAATGCAGATCATAACTATTGATCTTATTATGAATTTCCCTCCTACAAAATATGTATATATATAATTTTTTATGACATGAGTTATTAGCAAGCCAGAAATTATCAAGTTTATCATGTACCAAATTCCATGCACTCAGACACCAAGCAAAGCTGTTTCTGGAGAGAGTCCACCACAAGAAGTACAAGAGGTACAGACGACTACGGAAGGAGGCATCAGTGAAATAGCACCAGAATCTGCTTTCTGTGCGAAGAAAATGAAAAGGCGGCCTTCTTAATATGAGGCCGATGAGAGGTGATTTTATATACTAGTATTTGAATAACACCTTGATTGCATTTTTCAGAGTAGCATGCCAAGAAATCCCGTCCATTTTCGATAGCAATGAAGCAACTTGTTTCTTGAATATTTTTAACCCATAATATAATAATTTCTTTATAAAATGGGTTAAAAATTATTACAGAAACAAGTGCCTGTGCGATGAAGTCAATAAAAGTGTAATTAATGCAAATCACACATGAGATCTTATGTTTTAAGTTTTCGTAGTTTAAAAAATAAATTTATTCCCCAGGAAGTAATCCTATGTGCCCTGAAGTAAATATATAGTTCTTTTCAAAAAACTTCATTTATTTACAAAGTAAGTAAAATGCACTGGGCGCAAGTTCCCAAATTGCAAAAAAAGCCTGGAAGAAAATTTAAAAAATCAAAGGAAAAAAAGTCATTGTATGCGCGGTACAATTTACTAGTATACTAGGAGAAATATTTAGATTTCGTAACACTTAAACATTTGAAATGCATCTAATTTTTACTGAACGATTAGTTTACTACAGTTTTTATTATAGTTTACTTTTTTAACCGCATATGATTTGCAAGGAGCCACCCCCCCCCCCATTTCACTCATCAAAGAAAAAAAAACCGGGGAAAAAGTTCAAAAACTTCTAAATAATAAGTATTCTAGCTCTAATTTAAAACCAGTAAAACTTTTGATCCCTCACTCAAAACTGCTGACATTCATTGGCTTACATACATCTCTGGGGAAACTCTATTTCCGCTTTTATTGAGTTAGCTCTAAAACTAGAATACATACCTTTTTACTAGCGCTCTCGAGCGCTAGCAACTACGTTAGTTAATATTCCTGAATACGCATGCTCGATGTCACGGTCGGGAATTCTGGGTAAAGTACTAAATTAAGATAGACTCACTGAACGATAACAATTTGGTTTTGTCATACAAATATAGATGCTCTGAAATTGACACTGGCAATACCAGTCTAGATCAACATACATAAATGTACGATCGGAAGTTTAGAGTTTTATTGTCTAACTTGCACTTAAATGTACAAAAAGTAACAGTAAGTCGGGTTTTATAAAACCAAGACTATGACAGTTGTATTTCTAAAATTGTAATAAATACATAGTTTTTCTAATCTTCCTTCATGGATCTTTCCAAAAGCTAGGGAAATCGCGGCAACCTCGGATATATTTTCCGAGCTCGCCAGACTGAAAGGCCCGAATTGATGCTATACGAGTAAAAAACAATTAGTAACACAATGGAAATCTTTTAAGTATAGGTACTCATTGGCTCTTCTGACCTTTTATTTTTCACCTCGAAATTGAAAGCAAGGTAAAATACAGAATGTTGTTAAGAGTTAAAGAGTCATCCATTGCCGACGTGAAGCACACTCTTATAGATTCATTATTCTGAATTGTGCCCCCCCCCCCCCGTGCAACAATGTGTCTTTTTTAAAATCTGATTCAGCAAATTAAAATTTGGTTCAGAGATCCTCTGTGTTTTATACTGTTACAGCACTACCTCAGCCATCTTTTTAAAAGATAAACCTGTCTGGACATAACTATACGTTAGTAGACTTTTGGGGTATACTGAATGATTGTTCTTTGGTAGCTTGATACTACAGAGAGAACTGATCAAGATTCAGAGGGAATGGCTAGATGTGGAGAAAGAGAGACTCGGCAGGCTTCAGATAGAGCGTCGACGCTTGGAGATGGAAGAGCGGGCTAGGGGATTTTCCGCCACATGTAATAATTCAGAACGCAATGCTTCGGAATTTCAACTGTTCAATGGTGCATTTATGCAAATATGAGCAATGTTAATTTGCACTTGATAAATCTTTTAATTCTTATACCCACTGTTTTCTTTGATTTGCATGTACATACAAAACATAAAAGTTCCATTCATTATGAACAGCATATATGTAAGTTGTAAAGTTCTGGCAAATACAATGTATTTTTCCAGAAAAAAGGCATTAAACAAATGAACAATAAGTTCTAGACATCGTAGTTATCTCTGTTTTCTTTTTAATCTACAAAGAAATGTAAAGAAAGAATAAAATACGGTTGTTACCACCATCGGCCTAGTAAATTCGTCAAAAATAAACAATGATATCTTCAGAAATAAAGTGTTGATATATTTTGTACACGATCAGGTCTATCTGATTACGGATGTAAAATGGCGCCAAAACGTCACACAAACGCTACGTAAATTTCAAAACCATACCATGTATCCATATATTCTCCAAAAATGGCAGTTTTTATGTATTTGATCGCAAAATTCACTTTGGCCGCAATGAACGCGATTCATGAAACTTACATATATTTTTTTATAACGCAACAATGTTTCGATTTAACAACATCTTGTGAATCGCGTTTGCTGCGGCCAATGTTAAAATTGAGTTTATGTTATTCCGGATTTCAAGTTGAGAAATCTGATGTGAACTTACTTTTTAATTTAAGGCACCGTAATTGCTGTAAAATTTTATAAAAAGTTTACAAAATGAGTAATTATATCTAATCATTATCATTAAGAACATAGACTGAACAATAAATTAGGCAGACAATATATTTAAGCCACCCGTCAGGTGAAAATTACCGATAGGGATAACGTTAGATCAGCATGCTTAACGATAGAAGTAAAAGTGTTCATATGACCACCAAAAACAAAAAATATAAAAAAGAGAAAGATTGTAAAAGTACGCAGATAAGAAAATGTGCAAATAAGCAAGATTTTTTGCACTTTTTATGTTTGTTTTGCAACTGATATAATTGTTTGTTTCTCGCCTGGAAATGACTACACAGGAAAAATGTCCACATGTGTTGAACATATGTTAAACATGTGTTTAACATATATTTTTTACACATGTAAAACACATAAAAGGAGCACACATGCATAGGGTGTTTATTTTTACACATGTTAAACATATGTTTCACATGTGTTTAACATGTGTAAAAATTAACACATTGTATATTTATACATATGAAACATGTGTTAAACATGTGTTTTATATATGTTAAACTTTATATGTGAATTATACGTGTATAATATTACTGTTGTACTTATTATCATTTTTATACTTTTTTCATGTCTGTCCACATATGTGAATCATATGAAAAGGGCAGCATATGTAAGTCATATGAAATAGTTACATGTGTTCTCTTTCAATATTTATCACAAGGAAAAACACATTCTTGTACACATTTAAAAATCAGATATTTCTGCTTTAGATGAAAATCCATTATATTCCGATGATCTATCTTCATGGGTTAAATATTTGAAAATTAATATCTTAAAATGCTTACAAAACTTTTTTGATATATTATTTTCATCAAGAGAAATAACTTATTTTTCAGTGTACTTTCTAAACAGGAAAGTATACAAACAAGTCAGTAGCATTTGTCGATACATATATTTTACATATTCTAAGTTGAGTACAATTATAAGATTTCCACAAAATGATTAAATAGTTAAATATGCATACATGTACAAATGAATAACATAATTAGTCCATGTTCTTTTTTATAATTTATATGATTTGACATGAAAGTGTCCAAAGCAAAATTGAAATATCACATATAACATTTGTCATGTATTCTCTATTGTAAATTTATGAAAAATCAAGTTATTTGATATTACAGCATACAAATAAAAATGGGAATTAAATCTTTACAGGTCAAATGCAGACAAAATTGTGTACATCCTCCGAATTTCATAATTATTTCATATAATTTCTTGTTCTTTTTCCTTCTGTATCTTTCAGTTTTCTTCAGTTGTTCTATCTCTGATCTTCCATGAGCTTGACCATTTTGAACTCTCTTTGAACTGTACCCAAAATGCAAATCCACCATTTCTCCCTTTCCTGAACAATTTCTTTGTGGCACAGAATGGTCTCTACAAAAATTTCAAAAGTAAAAATAAAACAATTCTTTAATTACAAATTCAATTCTACAAGTACAGTTGTAATATTAAAGTTCAGCAAACAAATGTATGCCCAATTCACCAACAGAGATATGATAAGAGATAAAAATAATGTTATATATGCTATACTAGGTGTTTTGTGGAATCCTATGATGTAATTTGCAAGACAATTACACTGTTGGAAGATATGCTTCATAATAAAGTCATTAAAATCATTTTTTTTTTAATTTTGACAATTAAATTTGGAATGTTCAAACAGTATTACTAATTCATATAGCCAAAAATTAAGAAGATTCTGACACAAATATTTTATTTTTGGACAAAAAATACTACAGAGAAGTAGACAGGCAGAAAAACAGACAGTGTGATTCCAGGATATCCCAAACGTTGTTGGGAAGAATATAACAAAGTTTATTTAACAGTGTGTAGTTACCTTCAATTAAGCTTTTAAGCATGTCTTAGATCTTGGGATTTATTCTTATGAGACGCTGGCTGTATATTGAACCTGTAAAACAAATATTCATGCAGTAGATATCTTCTGAGCATAACTTAAGTAAACTACAAAACTACAACTACAAAAAAGAGAGAGTACATGTTTGTAGGTTCTTAATAGTCTTAATCAATATCTTACATTTTACCAGAAACTATGTTCTCTAGTGTTGGAAAAAATAATAAATGTCAGGTAATGAATACCGGAACATAATAGATGTAAATATCCAATGGATTAGCTAGCTGATGTACTTTCAACAATCAACACATATGAATGTCAGGTAATGAATACCGGTACATAATAGATGTAAATATCCAATGGATTAGCTAGCTGATGTACTTTCAACAATCAACATATATGCACATGTACTTGTACCTTGAAAATTGGATGTCACTGTTATTATTAATTTTTAACTGAAATTCAAAAATTCAATACCCCCCCCCCCTCCCCCTGAAGTCATTTACAGTACGTATATACATGTACCAGTTTCATAGCTTTTAAAGCCAGCAAATTCTATTCATACTTTCCATATTTTAAAAGTGCACTGGATTAAAACTGTTTTATAATATAGAATAAAATAATTGTAATATTGAGTTGGACTTATTATTTATGAAGTCGTGCAAACAACAAATGTAGAATTATAAAGGAACAAAAAGAAATTACAATGTATCAAGAAATATTTTGTCATGAAGGAGTCATTACAGATGTTTACTTTGATTTTTTATTGCAAGTAGTATTTATTTTTACCTTTAATATTGTGAAGATGCAATCTTCTGTCAAATCACCTTTAGGATCAATCGCCAGTCTTGTCAGCTTTGGGCTTTTTAGACGCAGCAATGTGACACTGAACTCAAGTTACTGCATGCATCTATAGGCCATAAAACAAACACTTGTTATTAAGTTGATGAAAGAATAGACTTGACAGCCATCTCAACATACATAAACACCAACTGACAGTCACAATGGTTTCAAGGTTTCTACTTTCACTTTCATATCAGTACGTAACAAAAGGAAAACCAATAATGCCTTTAAAAAATAGCCTAACATGTAATGTTTACGTTCATTCAGAAACAAATTTATCCAAAATTACTTACCTGTATACAAATTATAAAAAAATAGTAATGCCTTTAGCCTAACATGTAACCGCTTACATTCACGGGCACTGGAAGTTAATATAAATAATATAGTATGTGTATGTATAAAAAAAGAAGGGTCTTTTTTATACATACACATACTATATATTACATTAACTTCCAGTGCCCGTGCTTACATTCAGTCAGAAACATTTTTCACCAAAATTACTTAATTACAGATCACTATCGTTAGGTTTACGAAATGCATGACAAGTCACAATGATAAGAGTATTACATTTATATAGAAAGTTCATACGCACCTGTAACTATAATGAAATGATATTTAAACAATATGAATTAAAAGTCTTTTAAAAATTGTTTGGAGATCACTTACCTTTCCAATACACCCAGCACGTCTGCTGCAGCAGTGACGTCAAAAATGACGTACATTTTCATCCAATAAAAGACAAAACCGGCCTGGAGACAAATACGGAATTATTTTAATTTTACTCAAGAAGTAAGCCAAGCCCAAAAGATTTAAAATGAAAAGAAAATGAATTCATTCTTTATCAATTTTGTCTGATAAATGCATTATTACAGAAAAAACAATTGTGAAAGTTTTTTTAGAAGTGAAGGGAGGGGGATAAACAAAGTAAAACTTTACATGAGTAAAATTTTACTAACATTTACAAATTCTTTTGAATAAATGTACACACACATATGAGATAAATCTTAACATGTGTATAATATGTGTTTATGAATACACATATATTTTATATAAATTAAACATGTATAATTCATCTGTATTTTCGCACACATATATTACATATATATAATACGTGTTATACATGTGTGGTGAAAAACATGTGTTTAACATATATATTATCTCACAGGTGTATAACATGTGTATATTATATATGTTTTACATATAACTGAAACACATATTTTACATGTGTTTATTTACACACATGTATTACATGTATAAAACATGTGTTGAACACATGTGAAACCAAACATATGTTTAACACATGTGGACATTTTTCCTGTGTATGAATATTATACAAATATGAATATTACGCAATAAACTCATAGATGACGTCACAATAGATCGTGTAAAACAATTTACGTTTTTTTCTATTTTTAAAAGTGGCTGTTGATAATATTAATTTAGAACTTCAAAATTCCTTAGGAAAAGTAATTTGAAAGATATATGACAATTTATAATTGTGAAGAGATCCTGAGATTATGTGGACGTGAAAGTTAAATGTGTTTTCACCATCAATATGGAGATGTCTGGTTGTTTAAGTAAAGTCAATCGATCTACTTATTTAAAATTTAAAAAAGTGTTTGTAAAATTGTTAACAAATAAATTGTTGCATGTTCCTTCTGAAATACGTTCTGAAATCCAGCATAAGAAAATATGATAGATTTATTTTTTCAAGGTAAGTTTTCAAAGTAAGAACTATAGTCATCGTCGCTGTAAATATCAATATCTCGTACACCCGATTGTATAAAGAATTAAAGATCACATAAGTGGGCTTCATTGTTTTCAGTGTATTACATAAAATGGTATTGTGAATAAAAACCAATGCCTTTATATATATTTAGTGGTACATATTGCATAATACATGTTACAAGTTCATTATACTGTAAGTATAGAATGTAATTTAATTATAAAATGGGGGGGGGGCAGGTAGGCCCCTTCGTTTGAAAGAACAGTTTGGTTTTTTTTTTTAATTTTATTATTATTATTATTATTATTATTTTGTACAATTTACCAGAATAATAATCTCAAATAATTCCACACGTAACATTCAGAAACGTAGTTTTTGGATTGATTCATAAACATGTTCTTGCCAAAAAAAAAAAATCTTAACCTATCCCCCCACCCCCTCCCCTTGTCCCTTCCCGTGACTTGCTTTCCTTATTTTACTTAGCATTTTAGCGTCATTGTTCTAAAAAGTTGTGTAAAATCGGATTCGGAATTTTCTTTCGTCGACTTGAACACAGACAGCGGTAAATACAATTGAATTTTAATCGACGATATTAAAAGAAAATGTATACTTAAGAGGGTGGTGTCTTCTATAAATCTTTTCAAGAACAATCGGAGAGAAAAGATTGTCAGACTAAATGAGCGAAAGGCCGACCTCAGATTGCCATTTTCACGATAAACTAAATTTATTTTATTGCTAGAGAAAAAAAATTCAGAGTGCGATTTTTTCAATCTTTTTTTATCACATTGCATTGTCAGTAATAAAACGTGCTTTATAATCGCTAAAATTATGAGGAATATTATCGATTTACAGCTTCTTACAGGGAGGAACATTTCCTTCTCGAACGGGGGTAGCAGGTTTTTCAAAACAAAAAACAAACAAACAAACAGGCATATAGCCATTATTGCAAATAAATATTCTATCCTCCTCAGGGAATGAAGTATAATCTGACCTTGACTTGAGGTACCTACACCCGTGCCAAACACTACGTAGTTTTGATTTTTATGCTTGTCAAATTTACAGGGAAATAAAATGGTCTCTAATCATCTTGGAAAAGCTCATTCTGTCATACAGCGGTATAAAAGTGCATAATCTGAAAATTATGACCCCTACCGTAAATTAAATAAACGGCCGTCCCTTAATTAATAACTAAGAGTTTTATTGATGTTGACTTATATTCTGTTATGATACATATTACATGTACATATATCAAATTAAGAACCCTCTCTACACTGCACACTAATTCTATGGTATTTTTTGGCAGTTAGAGTGATCTGCCCTTTGATCTAAATTCTTAAAATTAGAAATTCACAGTTTATTACACAATTTTAAATCAATTCAGGCATTCTAAATGTTTTAAAAGGCCAAGATAAATTAATTGAACATGTTATTTTTATGTATTTTCCCTATGGAAGTAAACGACAGTGATTTCTTTTCACTGATACTGTGTTGTGTTTGATTATTTTTCCTGGGGGTAAATGCCACGCACCATATGTTGAAAATCATATAAATAAGCTCACTACAAACACCTTTATAGAATATATTTTTCTCAATATCCAAAAAACATTTTGTACTGGTGTAGAGAAGGTCCTTAAATATGGCAGACTGTTAAAAATGAAAATAAAGATATTTTTTGTATTAAACTTGATAAAAAAAAAACATTAGTTTTAGCTATGCTACGAATATATTGATTGTACGGAACGGTTTTCATGTCTCAGAAATATAGTGTCTTGGGGGGTGGGGAGTGGGAGGTGTAGTGGGGGGGTGGTGTTCTCTTCTATGATGTGACCTTGTTACATAGTTTCCCAAGAAGACTCCTAAAAGTTCTGAATCCACACCACAAAGTTAAAATTGACTATATGTGCAGTTGCACGAACAAAGTTGTGCGTTATTAATGTACATGTAGAGCTGCGAGAATGTTTTGCAGCATGGTAGAGTCTATCACTATTCTTTTCACAACGTTTCTCTTTTCCGCGATTCGACACAACTTTTCCACGAAAAAAATCTCGCGTTTCCAAAACAAGTTTTACTGCTTTTCCGCGATTATATTTTTTGATTTTCCGCGACTTAAGGTAATTTACCATGTACCTCTTCAGGCGCGGATCCAGATATTTTTCCCAAGGGGGGGGGTCCACCCCCAGTCCCCAAAAAAACTTTCAACCCAGAAATTTCTTGACAAGGAGAAAAAAAAACAAAAAAAAACCTAAACTCGCCCAAACTTCAAAAACCTATTTCGTTGGGGGGGGGGGGGGGGGGGGGGGGGGGAGGGGGGATTAGGACTTTTACTTCTTCAAACCTTTGACTTTTCATACCGATTTAGTAGAAATTCGCGTTTAACAGGGGGGTCTGCGTTTTCCGAGGGGGGGGGGGGGGGTCCAAGGTAACTTTTTTCTTGCTTTTGTATATAAATTTAATAACCTTCCTAATTCCAGGGGGTCCTGACCCCTCCCCCCAAACTTCCCCCCCCTCTAGTTCCGCGCATGCTCTTAATTCCGAGAGCTAAGCAAAATCTGTTTCTCCTTTATCACCACTGTCTTAAGTCATTTTCACATTTTTGAGATGTTTATTATTTTGTTTCAATTGCAGCAATCTTTTACACCGGTTTTTATTGATCGGTAAGACACATCGACATTCTTTAAATTGTTAAACTTTCTAAAAATAAATTCATCGTATAGTATATCTCGTACGTGTATGCATTTGTACACATGTATAAGGAGGAAAATATATGTAAATGCAGGTATATTTTGGCAACCGTTTGATGATAAGTGCTTACCGTAACTATTTAAAAATCGTAGGAAATGTACAAAATTGATGGCAGCGTTGTGACTCTGCTGTTTGGCGACTTTGCTTTAGGAAGTCTTAGAGCTAGCATCAAGCTCTAAGGTAAGGACTTTGTGTCCAGGTACGGACTTTGTATTCGTGGACGACATTATTCCGGTACTGAAGAGGTCCAGACACTCAGAGAGAACTCATGCTTAGCTAAGCTTAGGGTCGAAGATTCCCTAGGCGCAGTGGGGGGGGGGGGGGGGGTTAGCGGACAGTATATATGAAACGTATAATGCCTAACTAGGGTGTCCGGTTTTCAGCAACGGCGAGCCTGTTTAACCCTTGGATGGGTGACCGCTTCACGTTACAATAATACATGTGCAATGTACATTATTACAGAAGCATAATAACAGACACTACTACCACAAATACTAACTACAGAGTATGCGTAATTGTCAAAAGGACAGGGGGTGACATAGCTGTCGTTGTTGTGAATATTTTCTCTCAGACACGTAAGATAAATATATTTGTTGGTTCTTTATTTTTAAAAAAAATATGTAACTTTATTAAGTAAGCTTCACATCAATAATGATTATATACTGTTAAAAAGTACTATATTGTAGTAATAAAACCAAAACAAAGTAATGCAAAGATAATGTCTTAGCTAAAGCAAAAATAAATCTTTAATAGGAAAAAAATTCCAGGAAAATACTGGCATAAAAACTATAATAATTATGTTGCGGTCAAGATTTTATACGCAGTAAAATCACATCTTGCGCTTTCAAGCGTAAATACATGTAATTATGTATGATTGTATATTCTCGTACATGTATATACCTATAACAAGTAAATAAAAGGTAAGCATGATTGTATGGTATACTGGTACATGTATTTCAAAATTTAATTTATTATTTTAATAAATATCATGAATTTTAGGGAAATGGAGAGCGGAAAAATTCTTACAATAAATACGCTTTCTTGGAGAAATAGTTTTCTAGGAAAATTATCTCCTTAAATGACCCACGGTTATTGTAAATATCAATTCATATAAAGAAAAAAAAACCCGAAAGGTTTAGAACAGATTAAATTAAAAAAAAATAAAGTAAAATACATTTAAATATGAATTTATTTAAAAGAATATAATATTTTAGGTTGAGAAATGTACAATTCTTTACGCTGTACCGGAATCATTACGTTGAAATGTGATAACGCCATGTGAACGTCATGACGTCGTCAGTGTTATTTTCTTAAGAAAACATTGCATTTTTAATGAGTTGTGTAGGGAAAACGGTTTGAGATATTTTCAAAAAATAAATTGATTTAGAACAGGGGTATCCAAGACACCCTATATAAATATTACAACCAGATTTTGGGACTAGGCGGATTTTGGTGCTTAACGTACCTTCTTTTTAGATAATACATAATTTTTTTATCACATTCTGCAATTTGAGAGAGCGAGAGAGAGAGAGAGAGAGAGAGAGATTTGAAATATGTGAGAGACGTATTACCTAAAACCTATCTCTGATGATCATGGCCCTCATCTGTTGTCCACTTCGATCCTGAACATCGTTGTCCACTCTTTCGTCGGTATCATTGTCGTCGTTATCCTGCTGCATTTCAACAGGGAACCCTTGCTTTTCACATAAGTTATGAAGCACTGCAGTAGATGTGATAACATCCACTGCAGTCTGAAGTGCAACGGTCAAGGGTCCACCTAGACCAAAAAAATATTGGCTGGCAAGATTGACAATACAAAGCATATGTTTCATCTGTTCAGTCAAAAGTTCAGCGCGGACCTCGTTGAAAACAACCAATTAATTCTAATTGATTTTCAATCCGGCTTGTAGTTCCCTTGTATAAAGTATTAATGCTTGATATTTCTCAAATGATTTAAAATTGATTGAAATCAGTGCTCCCTCATGAAGACAATAATGTTTTAAAAAAATTATTTGGCATCCACTGTTCTTAAAGACATGCGGTACTTGGAAAAAAAGTCTAATGCATTTTATAGAGGGGGATACTTACGGTATCATTTAATTTTAGTGCATACATTTCTAAAATCTGCAAATTCCAGGGGCGGGGGAGGGGGGGGGGCTTTGAATTATTACAGAAAGAATGGCGGTGTCCATGTTGTGCTAAAAGTAAGCTAGGAGGTGCATAATGGCTGACAAATTGCGAATAAGAGATGGGTATCCCATAGAGTACTGTTTGTAACGGACGGACGGACATAGACAGATAGATGGACTGACAGACGGACACCCTAATCAGTATAAAATAGTTATATACCCCACGTTTGAAGCGCGGAGTATAATAATAAAAGCTGCTAATTTCTTGGTCTTGCTAGTTGCTACCTTACATGTATTTGAAAAAAGGGAAAAAAATTACATTATAAAAAATAAAATAAAGAATATTGGCATTGAATAATTCCATCTAGATATTAAAGAAACATACCATATTTGTGAATACAGAGCCATCGACTTTTCCAACGACCAAAAGTGTCTTCTATCCTTTGTCGTGCTTTTTTATGAGCTACATTAAAAGCCCGGTCAGCCTGTGTCTGAGGATTTCTTAATGGAGTCAAAAGATACTGGCGCAAAGCATATGCCTGATCCCCCAGGAGATGCCCAACGTAAGGCTGACCCTAGAACCATTCTCTCAGCTTACAATTGTTCCAAATATAAGCATCATGAGTGCTGCCAGGCCAATGGACCACGATATTTGTAAGCATCTTTCTGTGGTCACACACCCTCTGGACGTTGATGGCATGGTATCCCTTTCTGCATACGTAGGCATCTTCTCTTTCCGATGGTGGCTTTATAGCAATGAGAGTTCCATCAACACAGCCTAAAGTGTTGGGCATGTTGAATTCCGTGGAAAAGCCCTGCTTTACTGTCAATTGTTCTGTAGGTGTTGCTGGGAATTTTATATAATTTCCTACTTTTTGAGCCAGAATTTTGGATGTTTTTTTAACAATCCTCGACACAGAGGGTTGGCTTATTCCTGATATGTCCCCAATAACCTGTTGGAGCACAGTGTTGGATAGGGTTATGTGCGTAATCAATGAATTTTAGAAATTTTAATCAATGCTGTTATAATGTACATTTAAATTTCGATATGATCACAATGGACTAAATCGCAAACAAAGCTGCACTCTATTTTAGTATGAAGAAAATTAATCGTTTTCCACATTATAATCATGCATGTCTATGTATTGTACATGTACATGTACATATATAGTCCTATATATATAATTTGTTGACGCTGACCAGGCTATTAGTCATATAATTAATTTTAGAGGCCAATTGATCGGTGAAGAATTTTCTATGAAATTTTTGTGAGCTTGTCGCTTTTTGCTAAATACACTGTATAGTGATTTGTACAGTGTTCATGTTATATTTTAATTAAAATAACTAATTTGTAAAAGAATTTAATTCAATTTCTTGGAGCGTACCCAAAAAAATAAAGTAAAAAAGGTGAAGAGCTTCAAAATATCTAAATTTAATAAATAAGTTTTTTAGTCAGCTGTTAGTTACAGAAACTTGATAGAGTTTTGCAACCGTTATTTGGGGTTTTGTCTAATGAAAAGTATGACATCATACAAACATTTGCATATTTAGTTGTTTTGTTTTTTTTTTAAATAAAAAAAAAATAAATAGAGCTTCTTTTTTAAATTTTTATATAAAAAAAAGAATTTAGGAATAATAATTATCAATTATAGTAAGTTTTAATTATTTTTCAGGAATCGCAATTGTCCGTCATAACAAGGTAGGGGTCTATAAGAAACGCTTTATATATGCTTAATATATCACTGACTTAATTGAAAAATGGGATTTTCTACACATTAGCAAATTAAATATTTTAGAAATATAAATGTCTCACTACATGAATGTTTCTTGAAGTAAAAATACCTGTTGAAATGAACCCGTAGCATAAAACCGAAGCGCTGCAAATACCTGCAGCGATGCAGGAATGCTGTGTGACCTCATTGTGGGAGGCTCTAAGTCATTCGACAAGGTATCAATAAGTTCAAGAATACACCATCTTGGCATTCTGTAGCGTCGAATCAATTCCGTGTCGTCATAGATGTCTAAGGGGTGTGACCGATCTCGGAAAACCCTGTCTTTTCTTATTGAAACAGAACGCTGAAACATTATCTGGAACGCCATGTCTGTGCAATATGACGTCATAAATAACGTAACAATTGTATTGGCGTCATGAGTGTTCGTCGTAAGTGTATTGTACTGTATTGAATATGAACAACATATTCTAATCATACTGTATTTGATATGAATCGCATATTCTAAAACTTTTCGTAGTAAAAGAAACTCTATACAAATGATAACATTAAAATGTTATTACAGTGTACTTTAAAATATTTTGTGCTCCAAGCTGTTTTTCATCTCAATCACATAAAAAAATGAAGTTGCTGCATTTTTGAATATTTGAATTTACATTTAAAAAGACAAAATTTCAATTAATCTTAGAAAATATTATAACAAGTGCTCATTTTCGGAATCTTTACGGGTAGTCATAACCTTCCGTAAAAAAAACGTATGTTTTACGGAGAGTTTCCGCAACGTTTACGGATGCGGTATTTACGGAGGCTTTGTGAATAAGAATTTTTCGACTGCGGGTCGTTTCCGCAAAGTTTACGGGTCCGGTAAGTATACGGAGGCTTTGTGAATAAGGTCCCAGGAGTCCTGGTAAATTGCTCAGGTAAAGAGGACATTCCGTAGTCAAATTCTGTTTAAGAACAAACGCCTGAAAATTGGTATGAAACAAGTCAGTTAAAATACAACCATGTTGGTCCTTGTGGTCTATAGTCAGTAAGATGTGGCAGTCTATGGTGTCTTTAATTTCACATTTACTGGAATAAATCGAATTGACATAAGAAAGAACTTCAAGGTAAGTTTTGTCACAAGTACATGTACCACGTGTTATTTTGTGATTTTAATCTGATTATATTTCAAGTACGTTGATTGTTTTTAAAGTGACTATTTATAAATAAACATAATTATTGTGAAACTAAAAAAACACAAATCATGCTCATAAGTCTAGATATTTTTATCAACCGTAGAATTTGCGAAATCTTAAATTGAAAACTAGCAAAGATTGTATAACAAGCCTTTGATCAACTGGAAGACATAAACTCATATGCAGTTAATAAAAATATTCCACATCAATAAGGAGAGATAACGCTAAAGAAATTAAATGTTATGACTTTTGCCGTAATGTTTTGTTATAAGTTTGCCATCAATTGTCTTTCTCTATTAAACTTCCAAATTTAAAGCAGCCTCTGATTGTCTTTATTTGGAGTTCAGTGGAATATATCAAATCAAACGAAAATAAAGTTTTAACTGAGAAAACTTCCTTTTATCTTAAAATCTACAGCAAGAGATATGTTTTCATGCTTTTAAATGAATTGTGTTATACTTAAATGACCATCATCATTAGATTTCATGGTGGCCTAAGTTTTTGCGGAATTGGTGTGTACCTCTCATTCCTTAATATTAAGTGTCTAGAGCAAATCCAGAACTTTTCAAAGCGGACAAATCTGAGACCCAAATGTCTTAAACGTCTCGGTTGTTGTAATAGTGTACATAACAGAGCAGAGAAAGATAACTCGAATTTAAAAAAAATCTTCAGTAAAAAGAGAAAATTTAAAAGTTTGATAAGAGAATAACTCCATTTCTTCGAAACTTTGCAGGAAAGGAAATCACATACAGTTTCATTGAGAAAAATTAAATCAATGTGTAAAATTGTAAATTTCACTGTTAACATACATATATGTCATTGTATTGACAATTTAGTTTAGATAACAGGAAGTAGGAACCTGGTATCTGATAATCAGTTCTGTAGTGGTTTAGTGTTACGTAATTCACGTGTTGATTTCAAGTGCATGTAGATCGTGTTTACGCTGTGGACGTTCGAAGAATCATGTCAATGATGTTTATGGTTAAAATTTAGTATGTTACTTCAAGTAATTGTCATCTTTATGTCATTGATGTAACAACTTTGTCCAAAATGTCCGTGTTCATTTATGTATAAACAGGAAAGTGTACTAGATACTGGATGCATTCAAGGTCATATGCAGCTTACATGAACTTTACAATGTATCCTTCCCATTGATAATTTGACAAAATAGTTATAATTTAAAATCATTATATATAGCATCAAATGTTATTACACAAAACAAAAACGAGCATACAAAACCAGGAGCTTTAAACAAATATAAAATGATAAGATTTTAAAAAAACATTAACAAATATTTAGCTTTGACTGGTATTTTTTTTATTTTGATTCATCAGAATTCAGAAATATACAGCATAATCAGGCATCATAAAATTTCAAAAAAATTCTTTAATCATACGAACTCCAACTTTTGCAGGAATAAAGGGGATGGAAAATCAAAACTAGTCCATGTGTCAATGGTGTATTTTACCTTAAGAGCAAGTAGAATTAATTTTAGTAGTTCAAGGAAATGATGTGATTTGCATGTAAATTGAAGTATCTATTAAATTTGTTTATGTACAATTAAGGCATGGATTTAAAACAAAGTTGTCTTTTAATTTCATTTAGGGTGAGTATTATTTGCACATGCATCAGTATCTTGTCTGTTGCACTTAAAAATTTAGCTGAATAGACATGCAATGTTGATCATTGTGAGGGTTTTGATTTTCAGTGAGAATTAGATGAAGACGTTATATCAATCCTAAACATTTGAATTTTCTATACATCCAAGTACGTTCCTTGTCAAGGTCACTTATTAGTATCTTTGACATTGTAGAACATATAATGTCTTGTTTAATTCGTCATATTGAAAACTTTGCATATTACGAAGCATCTGTGATGGGAAACTCTCTGAAAAGTATGTTTTGGGGAAGGGGAAATGTTAAAATAATATATAACAAACAAATAATAAACACAAAGTTTGAATTTTTATATAACATTTACTATATTGTAAAAAAAATGCAAAGTAATGTCCATCATTCAGTACAAAATTTCTCTCTCTCTCTCTCTCTCTCTCTCTCTCTCTCTCTCTCTCTCTCGTGATATGTTCATAATTATCCATTCACTTTTATCAGCACCTGCTCGTATAAATTCCTGATTGTTCATGGTAAATCTGCGAGGGACTTTTTCGGGGGAAGTCCTGTTGGTTTTTCTTTTTCTTTACCTTTTTCTTCAAACATCAAAATGCTACAACAGAGATATTACTTTGTTTAAATTTTGAGCAATATGTTAAAGCATTGTATACTTATAATTATTTCTGCTACTTTTTACAAATTAAAGATTATTATTTTAATATTTATTCTATTTTCTTGAAATAGCAACATGGCTTTGGGATGAGTTTTTTTTTTTTTTGTTCTATTTGAGAACAAAGGACATTTTGACAATGGAAAAGAGAAAAAGTTTTAAGTTGTGCATAAAACAATGATGGAATTACACTTACATTTTGAGGATGGAGTTTTTCTTTCCAAGCATCATACTGAGAAATTCTGTGTAATTTATTGTGCCGGAGTCAGTGGTGTCGATTTCTGCTATCATTTTCTTTAATTCCAGGTGGGTCTTGGCTTGGCCTAGCTTTTCCATCATTTGTTTCAACTCCATTATGTCTATTTAAGGAGAATTCAAGGTAAATAATTTTTGAGGATTTAAATTACAAATAAAAGAACAAAATTATGATTATTATATAATTATGAGAAGAACAGATAAAATATGTTAATAGCAAACTATGTTTTACTGTAGCATTGCATGTAACAATTTCAGTAAACGCTTTAGAAAATAAGGAGAAATCATTTTGGTTTAGTGATTTTATAATAAATAGATATTATAAAAATGATCAAATCTTAATAAATTACCTATATCTCCTGAGTTGTCCAGATCATATTCCATAAACTTAGCTGTAACAAAACAAAAATGCAACATAATGTATAGACACACCTCTATGTTTCATTAAGATTTCTTTGGGCTTTTTAAGAATAATGAAAAATGCTAGTTTTCATAAAATTGTGCTTATTTAAATGAGTTTACTTGATGTATCTGGCACTTAGCTTCGTTCATGCTCTCATCTCTGACTATCTCACGCATTTAAAGCAATTTCTAATTCAAAAGTTTTACCTCCACAATTACATGCCCTCTCTGGGACTATAAATCTCCATACAAACCTTTGTATGCCACTAATTTCTCCTCTAAATCTTCAACATCGCTATAGTCGCCACCATCCACACAATCCTAAAACAAAAATCTTTAGCTATAATACACTATAACAGATCATTTTGTAACACTACATTTTTATAGTTTGATATTAATCGATGATATAGTAATACTTGTAACTGTTATGAAATTATATATAAACCTTATTGATCTCGTCCAGAGCATCCTCTTGTTTCTTCCTTAGTTGTCCGTATGTCTTCCCTCCTAAAATTATTCATTACATAAATAAAACACATTCAAGACCAATAATGAGAGCAAACGCATATTCTGATGATAAAATTTATCTCGTTAAGTCATTCCCTTGTTTTGATTATATTATAACTTTATAGTAGGAAGCTTTGGTACATGATTGCTTTGTCATATGTACGTAAGTGGTACTTATGAAGTTTTCCGGATTACAACAGTCGACTCCCATTCATAGCTAATGATAGGAAAGTCTAAATTAGCTTACCCCAACTTTCAAACTGCAACTGTCAGGGGGAAATCCCTTACTAATAATCTTTCAGTATATTTTAGTTGATTTTTTTCTATTATATTAGAAAAGGTTGTGCAAACGCTCAATAAAATAGATATTGGAGACAATGGTTTTTAACTGCTTGTCGTTTAAAAAACATTCACATGCTCTGGGACACTTTGATGTTTGACATGACCTAGATACCCAGACATTTTTATGTCACTACAAACGCACTGTGGCATAATTAACGGGAACTAGTTGTCAAATGATCTTATCTTAGAGATATAGTTTAATCTTAAGATTTATACATCCTATACAGGCAAATGATAATTCTCTCCGGAGTTTTATAATTAGAAGTAATTTAATACTCTCTCTCTCTCTCTCTCTCTCTCTCTCTCTCTCAATATGGACATTGTCTACACTTCCCCAAATGGAAGTAAATAAACTTATTATTACACATAACGAGACCATCCCTGAACTAGGCCACATCTTAATTGATTGCTTCGCTGGTTAACTTTGGCCCAGGGGGTCTTGTCATACATAGAAGCTTGATTGCACACTGGTATAATTTAAACTACAAAATCTTGTAAATGCGTGCCATTAACTAAAAGTTTGTAAACTTGCAAAGAATTAAAATTTAGTGTAAAAATGGTATCAAGCTTACGTACAGATATCGTTATAGGGAGTTATTTTATGTCCATATATATAAGGTCATTTAGGAATATGCCGTGTTAACATGCTATTTTGAACGTTGAAAACTGACTAGTATTAAACTGATATGTATAGAATTTTTAACCTAAAATTAGGAAAAGTAATTCGGTATATGTATGATCCAGGGGGCTAGGGGAAGTTTTACAGAAAGAATATTTCCCTGTAATCTCTAGAATAAAAATACATTACCTTCCTAATACGCTATCAACACTTTGATCAAGTAAGGATATGCATGCATAAATGATTTTAAAAACCTAAAATCAGGCAGAACAATTCATGAAGTCTATCGAAAGTAAATTTGACAAAGAAAAATACAAGTAATAAAAATTACGTTTGGCCTTTAATTAAATGCCTTACATGTATATTGAGAAGTTTGTATAAAGATAAAACAAGACTTTACCTTGTTTATCGGTAAAGTCCACCGGCATTTTCTCAATTTATTCCTTCTTCTCAAATCTCAATACACAAATGCCCGAAATAAGACGGTCGACTTCCCACAAGTCTTTCAACAAGCGAGTGTCCACAGTCAGCGATGTTAAGTCAGTTGTATCTTAAACTTCCTGTTTGTTGTCACGTGGTATTCGTAATAATATTGACTCGTCCATACATACGTACAAATGATCTAATAATTACGCACACTATTTTCACTATTTTACTCCCACATAATTTATCTCTTTTAGAACAAAAATATGCATAAAAAATAAAAATATAAATGTAAAACATCTTAAGACACATGTTAAAAAATAAAAATAATTAATATAAATGTGATTTATATGACAAAATTGATATATACATAGTCTTGTAATGCAAGCATTGAAAAAATCTTATTCATGCACACTTACCTCTTTTGTATTTTATAAATCCCTCTTTAAAATACTTAGTAAAAGAAAGAATATGACAGTGTAGCCCCACCCCTCTCTTCCGAGAAACTTGCTGAATTCACAAATGAAGAATTTTTCCTAATGCTAACCTCGTATAACATTCTCAGTGAAAGACATCTATGTTAATAAACAATATTACTAAAGAGCCTCTGCACCGTTCTATATGGAAAAGATTTTTTTTTAATGTACACAAAATTGATTCTTAATTGAGGTGTGGGTGTTTAGATGTTCTCCTTCGTTACAGTTCATATATAATATTGCAAGTAATGATGAATTACTACAATATTCAAGTAATATTGATATTGATTCTTTGTGTTTTTACGTGTACACAAATGAACACACTTGACAAATTATAATAATAAGTATAACATTTTACTAGAAAACCGCTAAAAATTTTAATCAGTTGTTGTAAATAGGATATACTTTAGGGTTTTTACCTACATTAAACTTTAAGTTTCATTAAAGGTCATGTGCTGTGAATATCATGGAAAAGGGAATGTGAATCAAGGTCTGTGTTGTAACAATTAATGACAGTCATGTTATAAGGAACAACCATTATAATCAGAATCTGTTGAATGGTAACTGACAACGTTTAAAGACTGCAGCCTTTCTTCAATACTTTCAGGCGTAAATACTAGTATATCTGGAAACAACCTTAACCCTTTCTCTTCCGGCGCATTTTACGTGATTTTGGAGGCCTTTTGACATGGCATTATTAAATTATTTCTTACTATTTTATCCAAGGGGAAAGCTAGGCATAATGCATACCATTTTGTAGGAAATTTCTTACAGATGATTTTTTATGACTGTTTAGATACTCAACCACTGACCTTATTAGTAAAAATTGAGGTCAAAGGTCAATTAAGTGCAAAATTTTATGGAATTTTTTGATACTTTTTCATCTTTAAGCTAAATATTAAGTATGATGTATATTGAAATAGGAAATTTGGGATATACCAACAAAAGAGCATTATACTGTACTACATGAAACACATAAACCTTTTTTCAATTCTGCATATAACTACCTAAAAGAGGTTGCTAAGCAACGCAGAATTCTTTAATTTTCGGGCAGAAATTTTCATTTTTTACTTATCCTAGAACATTTATGCATCCCAGCACATATAAAAGTTAGATGTGAGGTCATAAAATTACAAGGAACATACAACAGATAAATTGTCTTAAATTTTGACCTCATTAGAACTATTTTTAGGAGGTCAAAGGTCAAATAAGTGCAAAAGTTTCATAAATTTTTTTCAACACTTTTCAATATTCTTGCCATAATTTTACACAATGGATGCTGAAATGGAAAATTCTGAATATACTCTCAAGAAGGGATCAAAACTGCAATATCCATGCATCATTTTATTTCAAATATCTGTTTAATGACCTTTAAGTGGTTGCTTAGCAACATCATTTTAAAGTTTTTGGCTATATACATGTTTGTTATTTCACATTCTGGACACATTCTAGACACTTTTTGTATATTTCATGATATTGTTTATAAGATATGGGCCATAAAGATGAAAGAACATTTTTGTATTAAAAATTGACCTTGACACTCTTGTTCTTCGGGGGGTCAAGGTCATATCAGTACAGAATTCTGCTTTAAACTGTAAGTAAATATCAATTTTGAAATGCTTCAAACATGGACAAATCATCTAATAGTTGACGTAATAAAAATGGCGAACGACAAAATTTACAAGGAAAGAATTCTGGTCTGCTTCTTACAAAGTCCTTGCAAAACATGTATACTATCTTTTTGTTTAACAAGAAATCCATTCACTTGATGCCATTAAAAACTAGAAAACTGACCAGTCAGCAAGGGCCCCGCCATGGGGTGGAATTATAAGGATGCAGCTTATGGAATGATTAAAAAATATATGAAGAAATAAGCAACAGCAACTGTATTCTTAAAATTTTCAACATAATTCCTGAATATCCAAAAACCTGTAAATAATATCCTTGTATATTTACATTAGGCACTGGCAGTAAAGAACAACCTAACATTGAATGTATATATAAACAATAATGAAGTTTGTGTTTGTGTTATATAAAATGCCAGTCTTCAATGAATGCAAATACATGTATCATGAAGGCTTGACCTTAACTTCAAAACAAACAGCAGTTGCAGACAAAGTTTTTCATTAATCTTAAAATGACGGATAAAGATAGGCCTACTAAATTTTCTTGCATCATTCAGTTTACAATGGAAACATCTTCAGCAGTTATCTCTCTTTGCCAAAGCATTCTTATATAAAGTTAAGGAATATACCCCACCACCCCAGCTCCAAACCAAGGGACATAGAGAAACAAACTTAGCATCAAAATATGTCTTTCTGCCTATTGAACTACCATACCAAATTTGATCTTAATTGGGCAACCATAAAAAAAGTTATTAAGAAAAAACAGGAAATTTGTGGACGGAAGAAAGACAGACGGACAGACAGACAGACAGAGTGATTACTATAGGGCACCCGCAAATCCTTGCGGGGCCCTAATAATCTTTATTTTCATGGATTTAATCTAACAAGAAAAAAAACTAAATGATTTCATTACAAGATTTTTCTGGTATAACAGAGCTTAAGGGGTACAATAAAGACTTGACATGTTATCTTGGAGGGAAATAATAATAATAGATAGCATTGGCAATATTTAACACAAAACTGTTTAGTCAATAAGTTGAAAATCTGACGCTTATATTTAAATTTACAAATCCAGAAATATTGCAAGATGAATTCCAAATCAGACTGAAATCTTCAACAAAATGTTGAAGAGCACTTTTACTTTGTGTCCACCATTCTTTTATCAACTGTCATTTCTCTGTAAGACTGGAGGAAATTCTTTGATTTGTCCATAACATTATTATTTGCTGTCAAGTACAAGTGATCAGCTTCTATCCTGTAAAAGATTTAAATATTTTGAAACAGATACATGTCATTGTGTATATAAATTTATATTTATAAATAAAATTAAGAATGCTAATATTACTACATTTATTTGATTTTCCTTTTAAAATTAAAATTGTATTTATTATGTGATCCAAGTAGTTAAATGATATTGTTAAGTCAATGTATCAGGACTGATAATTCAACAACCTTGTAGTAAACCATCATGGTAAAATTACTGAACTAAAACAAATAGCATATATGGCAATCTGACTAAAGCCAGACCTCTGTTTACGCGGAAACAGACATATTTTTTTTCTAGGCCTTACGTTCCTTTGCGGTAAAATGTATTCCTTCGCCGTCCAGAACTAACGGATTGTATGGAGGCCTCAAAGAGAAATAATTTCAATATTTTTAAAAATTCGATATTGGAATTACAAGAATTAAACGTTCTTTTTGAAAAATTTATCGATGTGTAAACTCTTGACATTTTACTCACAAACTTAACATAAAAGTGCTTCGCACTTTTATTCGGTTTGTGAGTAAAATGTCAAGAGTTTACACATCGATAAATTTTTCAAAAATGACATTTTACTCACAAACTTAACATAAAAGTGCTTCGCACTTTTATTCAGTTTGTGAGTAAAATGTCAAGAGTTTACACATCGATAAATTTTTCAAAAAGAACGTTTAATCCTGTAGTATGAATTAATGCAATGTCATGAGAATGACACAAATGAAATTAGACTTTATTTTTTGAAATTTTAGAAATACAGAAATTTTCAATACCAAAACAAAAATTTACCTGTTCATTGGCGTCCTTACATATTAATTGACCTTCGTAGTTCATGGTGGGCTTAGAAAGTGGGTATTCACAGATGAAAGTATTGTTGTATATGGTGAAAGCACCCTAAAAATTCAATGTGAAAGTGGTACATGTACACACTGGTACATACATACTGAAAACAACTATCCATTATTATGACAACTTTGATTTTGCTTTGAACTTACGAGTGATTGTCAAAAGCATCAAAGTTCAAAAGCAATGCAAAATTGGCTGAACGATACGAAATATGCACACAGAAACATAAAGATCTAGTACATGTGTACATTTAGTTTTCTTTTGAACGTGAACTAATGCGTTTTAAACTTAAACTTTTCAGTCAATATACACGTATTCTCACCTGCTAATACCAAAGGCATGTCCGTATTATTTGATTCATTGATGTGAGGATCTTCGTCGTGAAATAATCATGAAAACTGACGTTCAGATTTCGGATCATGTTTTTGTTTACAGCTACCACAGCGGAAACACGTGGTTATTTCAATTCGTATCAACTCATACAGTGATGAGTCGTATTTATTTATAAATGCGAGTTTTTGTATTGTTAAATATAGATCTAATAAAATTGCAAATTAATAAGTAGTCAGTATAACAAGATACAACAATATTAAAAATCTGATTGATTTTTTTTAGTAAAGATCGACGTTTTGGAAATCTACAATTTTTAACAATATATTGTATATCACTTCATGAAATATACATCATTACATGTAGATGAATAAATCAACATTCACTTCACAAAAGGCAGAACGAAAGTATATATTTGTTTTTTGAAATCTATTTTTTTTTTTTGTATTATGCATTTATTTCAGTAAAAAAAATATATTTAAATGGTCAAAAAACTCTTATAAAAGAATTTGTTGTTTCGAGTAAGACGCAACAATATCGACCTTGACGTTACATGTAAATATTGACCGATTTTTCCATAAAAACTATGCGAAGGTCACAC